GTGGGGCTCGATCTCATGAACCAGGAGGTCATGACCTGAGCTCAAATCAAGAGTCAGATTCTCAACTGACTGTGCCACCCAGGTTCCCTAGTTCCCAGGTTCCCTAGTATGGCACCCTTATTCTTAACTAGACAAGGTATCTTCTACTTTATTGTCTCCAGGGAATCAATCCTAAACCTTCTGCAGGGTTGGCAGCTAGGAAGGAAGTCAGGTGGTCCAACTGCTTCTGAAATAGACTTTTAACCAGTTATTCTGCTTTTCGTCCCAACTTTACCCCTGCTTCTTGAGGTACCTGGTGCTTTCAATTCTTGAGGCTTTTGGTGGTTTTGTAGGGCAAACCAGGCTTGCTTTTGGCCTGTCCTTTGATAGATGAAGAAGAGTCTGCTAAGTCAGTTCCCACTATCCGTCTGCTTTCCAGCTTCCAAAATGTTAGTGATTTTATCTCCTGTTCTCTAAGAGACTGACTATACAAACAGAAAATAGCCAGGTCTCATATGACAGTAGAACTCTGACCCATGACTTCTACAGCAACCACCAGCCTGGGAAGCCAAACCACAGCTTCTGAATCAAACAGCCCAGAATGGTTAGAGCTTGTTGATGGGTCTGCTTCTTTATATTTTGCCCCTACTTCCAACACAGGACCAACCAGAGAAAGCCAAACCAATCACATAAGAAGCCTGGCTTCTAGTCAGCCCATCTCCAGTTTCCCCATTACAATGGCCACCAACCATATCTGAAGCTGCCCCTGTTTTCATTATAAAAGTTTCCCACTTGTCTGCCTGCCTTTGAGTCTTTGCCAATTGCGAGTGATGGTGGCCGACTCTCTGCTAGGTTTACTCTCATTTTGGTCGTCTACTTTTTCTATATCTTTTTTACCTTGAAGTTTTGTTTTTTCCCCGTTTTTACTTATTTTTTATTTTTTTAAATTTTTTAATATTTATTTATTTTTGAGAGAAAGAGAGAGCACGAGCTGGGGAGGGGCAGAGAGAGAGAGAGGGAGACATAGAATCCGAAGCAGGCTCCAGGCTCTGAGCTGTCAGCACAGAGCCCGATGCGGGGCTTGAACCCATGAACCATGAGATCATGACTTGAGCTGAAGTTGGACACTTAACCGACTGAGCCACCCGGGCGCCCCTTGTTTTCAAAGAGAGATTTCAGTAGGAAGTAGAGTTACATGTGGCTCACTCCATCATCTTAAACTGGCATTCTCTTTGTGTGTGTGTGTGTGTGTGTGTGTGTGTGTGTGTGTGGGTGTGGGTGTGTGTGTCTGTGTGTCTGTGTCTGTGTTTCTGACTTAGATGTCAGGAATCCACTTTTACCCTCCAGCTTCAGAAGGTCCACACATAACATTTGCTTTTCTTCTTGCAAACATGGATACAAAATTCAACACCCATTCAAAGTCCTCCAAAGAATCTACTGGAACTAAAACATTAGAGGATGGTACACAATTGACTTTCCTGAGCCTTACCTATGAGAGACAGAGGATGAGGTTACATTATGTGTACACATCCCACACCAAAGAACTTAAACTCAACTCCCCAAATGCTTTAAACGTTTCTTTCTCCCTCAAAGATGTCTTTCTCTTTCTCCCAGGAAGCTGGGAGCCTTGCTGACTCCTCCCTTTATCTCTGATTGCTCCCTGAATTTTCTAATTCCTCACTCTTTTACCCTAGGAAGCAGTTCAGCTCAACCTCCATGAGCACCACTCACTACAAAACAAAAGGAATGCTGATTCACCAGCCTTTCAACCCCTATTGTTAGGTGAACTTGTCCCATGGCAGTGAGAGTCTCACCCTCGTTTCATTTTATTTCATTAAAAAAATATATTTATTTATTTTGAGAGAGAGAGAGCCCGAGCACAAGGAGGGGTGCAGACAGAGAGAGGGAGAGAAGAGAATCCCAAGCAGGCTCTGTGGTGACAGCTTGGGGTGCTATCACACAAATTGTGAGATCATCACCTGAGCCAAAATCAAGAGTTGAACACTTAGGGATGCCTTGGTGGCTCAGTCAGTTAAGCATCTGACTTCAGCTCAGGTCAGGATCTTATGGTTCGATCTCATGGTTCGTGAGTTCGAGCCCTGCTTTGGGCTCTGTGCTGACAGGCTCAGAGTCTGGAGCCTGCTTCAGATTCTGTGTCTCCCTCTCTCTCTGCCCCTCTCCCACTTGCACTCTGTCTCTCTCTCTCAAAAATAAATGAGCATTAAAATAATAATAATAAAAAAAGAGTTGGATGCTTAACTGACTGATACACCAGGTGCCCCAGTCTTACCCTTATTTTAAAGGGTCTTCATGAATTTCTTCTTTTCCAAGAAGTAGTTTCAGTCTAGCTCTTTAGAAGAGAGAAAAAATTTCCATACATCTCTAAACCACCAAAAAAAGGATACCTTTTCTCATTTGATAACAAATCGTCTTTTTGTCTTTCCAACTAGCTTGTAAGCTTCTTGAGTGCATAGCTACATATTTTTATAATCTGTATAGTACCTAATAATATTACAAAAGTTTATAGAAGGGATCAGTGGACAGAAAGGATAGATAGAATTTTGATGGAAGGAAATAAGATTTTCAGAAAGAGCCTCTTTAGTGGTTCCTCTAAGCTTTGACCTTTATCTCCAACACACTAAACAAATCCAATAAAGGTGTTTTGTTTTCACCTTTATTGTGTATCTTCAAGACTGGGCCCTGTATTCAACAGGGTTTTTGTTTGTTTGTTTGTTTGTTTGTTTTTAAGATGTTATTTTTAAGTAATCTCTACATCCAATGTGGGGCTCAAACTCACAACCCCAAGATCAAGAGCTGCATGTTCTACTGACTGAGCCAGCCAGTTTTAGTCAACTTGTGTGGTATGCATTCAGTATTAATACCTTTCATTTCATGTATCAGTTAGGGATCGGGTTTCATTGCTGGTAACAAAGACTTCACTGTAGTGGCTTAAAAAATTAGTTTATTTTTGGGGGCACCTGGGTGGCTCAGTGGGTTAAATGTCTGACTTGGGCTCAGGTCATGATCTCACAGTTGATGAGTTCCAGCCCTGTGTCCGGCTCTGTGCTGACAGCTCGGAGCCTGGAGCCTGCTTCGGATTCTGTGTCTCCCTCTCTCTCTCTGCCCCTCCCTCACTCATGTTCTCTTTCTTTCTCTCTCTCTCTCTTAAAAAATAAACATTAAAATTTCTTTTGTAAAAATTAGTTTATTTTCTAATGTAAAAGAAGTCTAGAGGTAGGTAGTTCAGGGTTAATATGGAAACCATAGAAGGCATCAAGGATCCAGGTTTCTTCTCTCTCTCCACCCCACCCTCCTAGGCACCTGGCTTCCATCTTCAAAGTGCCACTGTGGTGGCAGAGAGCTGTTGGAGCCCCAGCTATCAAGTCCTAGTCTTAGCAAGAAATAAGTGGAAGGCTAACAACAAAAAGGCCTGTGACAGTTGTCTGTCCCCTTTTTAAGAACTACTGAAAGTCTAGGGGCACCTGGGTGGCTCAGTCGATTGAGTGTCTGATCTCAGCTCAGGTCATGATCTTGGGCCCGTGGGTTTGAGCACCACACCACACAGGTTGTCGGCGGGGAGCCTGCTACAAGTCCTCTGTCCCCCTTTCTCTCCACCTACCCTGCTCACGCTCTCTCTCAAAAATAAATAAACACTAAAAAAAAAAAAAAAAAAAAAAAGAACTACTGAGAGTCTAGTGCAAAAACTTTTGTTTAGACCTTACTGGCCAGAACTTAATCACATGGCCATATCCATTACCAATGAAGACAGAAAAGAAATTTTGGGGAAATGCAATTTAAGTGCATTTTTAAATGCAATTAAAAAAAATTTTTTAAGACACATTTATTCAACATCATGATCAGACTATTACATTTAGCAATCAATAGCATGGGCACAAAAAAACAATCTACGTTAAAACCATTTGTTGGAATGCTTTACACTTTCCATAGAACAGAAACTAAAATAACCTGTTACACAATTAGTCACAAATACAGTCTTGAGTTTTTTGCCCATACACATGAGTATTGTCTAAAACATGTCTTCTTTGTAGCAGTTAGGCCCTGCCACCACTATGCTTGGCTGAGTTCACAAATCTGTTGTAACCTGTAGCTTCCCTGTCACTTCTCTGGCTCTCCTCTCCTGCTAAGCTTTGTTTCCTGGCCGTAATTAAAACCTTCTGCCACCACCATAGCCACTGCTGCTGGAACCACCGTAGCCACCTTGGTTTCATGGTTTGACAAAGTACTGGCCTCCACCACCATAGGGGCCAGGGCTTCTGCCTCCAAAATGTCCTCCTTTCATGGGTCCAAAATTTGAAGATTCATTGTTGTAATTGCCAAAATCATTATAGCTTTCACCACCTCCAAAGTTGCTTCCATCGTTACCAGATCTGTTAGAGCCATCCCCACTGCCACCATATCCACTACCCCTTTGACTGCCACCAAAGCTACCTCACCCACTGAAGCTTCCTCCATGACCAAAGTTATTCCCACCAAAACCACCTCCATGACCACCACCAAAGTTTCCAGAGCCACTCTGACCTCTTTGGCTGGATGAAGCACTAGCCATCTCTTTCTTAGATAGAGTTCTCCTGACTTCACAATTGTGACCATTCACGGTATGGTATTTTTGAATGACAATCTTGTCTATAGAGTCATGGTCATCAAATGTTATAAAAGCAAACCTCTCTTTTTGCCACTGCCTCAGTTAGTCATGATTTCAGTCACTCCAATTTTCCCATACTGTTCAAAATAATCTCTTGGATGATGTTCTTAAATTTTTTTTTAACATTTACTTATTTTTGAGAGACAGAGAGAGACAGGGCATGAGTTGGGGAGGGACAGAGAGAGGGAGACACAGAATCTGAAGCAGGCTTCAGGCTCTGAGCTGTGAGTACAGAGCCCGACACAAGGCTCGAACTCACAAACTGCGAGATCATGCCCTGAGCTGCAGTCGGACGCCCAACCAACTGAGCCACCCAGGCACCCCTCTTGGATGATGTTCTTCAGTGTCTTCTTCAATGCCACCAACAAAAATCTTTTTCACAGTTAAGTGGGCACCAGGTCTTTGAGAATCTTCTCTGGAGACAGCCCTCTTTGGTTCCACAACTCTTCCATCTACCTTGTGTGGCCTTGCACTCATGGCTGCATCCACCTCTTCCACAGTGGCATACATGACGAACCCAAACACCTCTGGAGTGCTTGGTGTTTGGATCTCTCATAACCACACAGTCCGTAAGCATTCCCCATTGCTCAAAATGGCTCCTCAGACTCTAACCGGTTGTTTCAAAGCTCAAACCTCCGATGAAAAGCTTCGGTAGCTGTTCAGGCTCTTTGGGAGACTCTGACTTAAGACATGACAGTGGTGGGAGGGAAGGCTTTAATGATGCTTCCTCAGCAGTGTCCACGGGCAGAAAGCTTAAATGTATTTTTTAAATGCCCCCTGACTTTTGCTACTAGGCAGAGGGGAGAATGGAGATATTGGGTAGGCCACTGGCATTTCCTGCCATCGTTCCTCTTGAATTTTCTGTCTATGACATCCCAGGGTTTGGAATTAAGTTGTCCTCAAAATCAATGAATAAATGAATAAAGCATTTTTAGAAATGCAGCTCATGGCACAATATTCTAAATCAAGCAGCTCATGGCACAATATTCTAAAATGAATTGACTTTATTTCTAGGACAGTTTTAGGTTTACAGAAAATTTGAACAGAAACTAGAGTGTTCCCATACACGACTCCCCCCACCTCAATACACACATACACATACAGTTCCCCCTACTATTAAATTTTGCACTGGTGTGGTACATTTGTTTCAACTGACTAACCAATATTGATAAATTATTACCAACTAAAGAATAGAGTTTATTTTAGTGTTTTCCCTTTGTGTTGCACAATTCTATATGGGTTTTGATACATGCATAATGTCATGTATCCCCCATTACAGTATCATACAGAATAGTTTCACTGCCCTAAAAAATCCTCTGTGCTCCACCTATGCACCCCTCCTTTCCTCCCCAGGAATGCCTAGCAAACATTGATCTTTTTACTTTTGCGACAGTTTTGCCTTTTTTATAATGTCATATAGTTGGAAACATACAGTATGTACCCTTCTCAGACTGGCCTCATTCACTTAGCAATATGCACTTAAGATTCCTCTATGTCTTTTTGTGGCTTGATAGCTCATTTCTTTTTATTGCTGAATAACATCCCACTGTATGGATGTGCCACAGTTTGGTTATACATTCACCTATCGAAGAACGTCTTGGTTGCCTTCAATTTATGACTAAAGCTGCTATAAACATTTGTGTGTAGGTTTCTGTGTGGACTTAAGTTTTCACTCATTTGAGCAAAAACCTAGGAGCATGATTTCTGGATCATATAGTAAAACTATATTTAGCTTTGTAAAAAAACTGACAAAATATCTTTAGAAGTGGCTGCACCATTTTGCATTCCCACCAGTAATGAATGAAAGTTCCTGTTGCTCCATATCCTCATCACCATTTGGTGTTATCAGTGTTTGAATTTTAGCCATTCTAAAATGATTTAGCCATTCAATGAGATGATGTTATCTAATTGTTGTTGAGAGAGACAGAGAGAGACAGAGAGGAAGAGGGGCAGAGGGAGAGGGAGAGAGAGGAAGAGGGGCAGAGGGAGAGAGAGAGAATCTTAATCTCAACACAGAGCCTGATGTGGGACTTGATCCCATGACCTTGGGATGATGACCTGAGCAGAAATCATGAGTCTGACGCTCAACTGATTGATCCACCCAGGCGCCCCTCTAATTGTTGTTTTAATTTACAATTTCCTAGTAACATATAATGTTGAACATCTTTTCATCTGCTTATTTGGATAGCCTATATCTTATTCAGTGAGGTGTCTATTCAAATCTTTTGATCACTTAATTTTTTCATTTTTTATTTTTGAGAGAGAGAGAGAGAGCACAAGGGTGAGTGAGGGGCAGAGAGAGAGGGAGAGAGAGAATCCTGAAGGGGTCGAGCTCACCTGATATGGGGTTCAAACTCACAAACTATGAGACCATGACCTGAGCTGAAGTGGGACACTTAACCAACTGAGCCATCCAGGAGCCCCACTTTTGGTCACTTTTTAATTGGGTTGTTGAGTTTCAAAATTTCCTTGTATATTCTGGGTAATAGTCTTTTATTAGATAAGTGTTTGCAGATGTATCCTCTCAATCTGTGGCCTATCTTTTCATTCTCTTGTCTAATCATTTTTTTGGCATAAAGTTGTTCATCATATTTTGCAGTTTCTTAAATCTCTGCTTATTTTATATCCCCCCTTAAATAAACATTATTTATTTGTTGCTACTTCTCTTTTATCTAGATCAATCTCACAGGAACTTGTTTTATTAGTCTTTTCAAATATCTAACTTTAGTTCTTTTGTTCATCTATCACATCTTTTTCTATTTTATTAATTTATTCTCTGATCTTTATCTTCTTCCTTCCTACTATTTTGGATTTATGTTTTTTGTTTCTTCTACTGTATTAGGATGATCACTTATATATTTAATTTTTAGTTTTTCTTATTTTAGAGTGTAAAAGCATATAAGGTTATTAATTTGCCTGCATCCTATAAATTTTCATATATAGTATTTTTATTACCTCTGAAATCTATTATTATAACTTTATTTCCACTGGGATTTTTTTTTTGATCTTTCAGTTATTAAGATTTTTTAAAATCTTCAAATATATAGAGTTTTAAAAATAATTTTGTTATTGACTTCTAGCTTAATTGTACTAAGATCAGAGAATGAGATCTGTATGATAGCAATTTTATGCAATTTGTAGTAAATTGCTCAATGGCCTAAATAAAAGTTAATTTTCTTAAGTCTTCTTTGTAAGTTTTGTTTTGTTTGTTTTTTTGTTGCTGCTTCATTGTCCTTTATTTTTTTTTTAATTACTTTATTTAAATTCAAGTTAGTTAACAATGTTCTATTAGTTTCAGGAGTAGAACCCAGTGATTTGTCACTTACATATGACACCCAGTGCTCATTCCAACAAGTGCCCTCCTTAATGGCATCACCCATTTAGCCCATCCCCTTCCTGATAAGTTTTAAAAGTATTTGTGTTCTCAAAATGCTGGATGCAGGGTTCTATACGTGTTCCTTAGAAACTGTTAATTAATGGTGTTGGAGATACTCCAGCAATGACTGGTGATTCTTGGATATATTTACCTATGTAGATGTTATTGACTGAATGTTTTGTGTCTTCTCAAAATTCATATGCTGCAAACTAACTTCCAGTATAATGATATCAGGAGGTGGGGACTTTGGGAGGTGATTAGGTCATGGGAGTGGAACCTCATGAATGAGATTAGTGACTTATAAAAGAGGCCCACAAGAGCTCCTTATCTCTTGGCCAAGTGAGGGCACAATGAAAAGACAGCAGTCTATAAACTAGGTGGCAGGCACTCACCAGACAAAAAAAAGCTGTCAGCACCTTGATCATGGACTTCCCTGCCCCAAAACTATGAGAAATAAATTTCTGGTTTTTTTTTTCAATGTTTATTTATTTTTGAGAGACAAAGCATGAGCAGGGGAGGGGCAGAGAGAAAGGAAGACAGAGAATCCGAAGCAGGCTTCAGGCTCTGAGCTGTCAGCACAGAACCTGACACAGGGCTCAAACTCCCAAATGGTGAGATCATGACCTGAGCTGAAGTTGGACACGTAACAGACTAAGCCACCCAGGCACCCCTAAATTCCTATTGTTTATAAGCCACCTAGTCAATGGCATTGTGTTACAATAGTCCACACAGACTAAGACAAAGAATGAGGTACTAAAAAGCTGACTGGGAATCCTTTATGCACAGATGGGGCTTGTTGGGTTGGAACTTCAATGTAGGACCCAGACAATTTATTATGGTGTAGGGGAGGAAAATTTGTTTCCTCTACCCTTCTAGATTCTTCTAGCTGGTCTATTAATTAAACTGACATAAGACAGATTAACAGAAGAAAACAAATTGGGAGTCCTATAAGAATGAGACCCAAGGACAAGTCAGGCAATTGAGGCTTAAATGCCATCTTAAGTTAAAGAATAGAATAGAATAGAATAGAATAGAATAGAATAGAATAGAATAGAATAGTATAGAATAGGCCTGGGGATTCAAATGGGAGGAGGGGAACTCCCAGGACAATAAGAAGAGCAGGTATTTGGTAATTAGATATTTGCCCTGCCGTACATTAAAAGTTATTAAAAGTTATCTCTGGTAATAAGTCTCTTTCTGAGCCAGACCCCCATTTTAAATTCTTTATGTAGTTAAAAGACAGGTAAAACTTTTCCTTAAACCTGTTGGGTCTTAATTGCCTTTAGTTCAAAATAATCCACATGTCAAAATGGCATATGTTGGTGTCATGTATTCTGCTCCTCCTCAATGGGATTCCTCAAATGTCAATATTCTGTCATTCCAATCAAATTTATGTCTTATAAAATTACACTGAGATTTGTCTGCTATTAACTCCATTCCTATTCTTATTTTTAAATTCTTTTTTAATGTTTATTTATTTTTGAGAGAGACAGAGACAGAATGCAAGTGGGTTGGAGCAGAGAGAGAGGAGACAAAGAATCTGAAGGAGGCTCCAGGCTCCGAGCTGTCAGCACAGAGCCCGATGTGGGGCTCGAACTCACGAGCTATGAGATCATGACCTGAGCCGAAGTCGGATGCTTAACCAACTGAGCCACCCAGGTGCCCCTCTCCATTCCTATTCTTTTTCTTCTTTGGGTTTATAAACTTTTCACTCCTTTACTTTCATTTAAAAAAAAAAAAACTTTTTATTGAAGTGTATATGCATCCAGGAAAGTGTCCACAAATATGTAACGTGAACACACACGTAAACCAGCACTCAGATTAAGAAACAGAACGTTATCAGCACTTCGTGAGCCTCCTCATGCTCTCTTCCAGAGTCATTACTCTACGTTGACTTCTAACAACATGGATATTTGGGTAGTTTCCAGTTTAGGGCCGTTGCCAACATGAGTATGGGTTTTTTTGTATATGTCTGTTCAGTGAACATATGTACACATTTTTGTTGGGCTTATACCTAGGAGTGAAACTGTTGGGACAGAGGCTATGCATATATTTAGCTTTAGTTGATCCTGCCAAACAGTTTAACAAAGTGATGGTACCATTTATTTACCCTCAGAAGCATATGAGAGCTCTGGTTGCTCCACAACCTTGTCAATCCTTGGCGTTTTGTGTCTTTTTCATTTTAGTCTTTCTGGTGGGTATGGTCTCTCATTGTGGTTTTAATTTGCATTTCCTTTTAACTTTTTTGTTTGTTATTTTAGATGTTTCTGGATGGAGCAGATTAAAATGCAGGGAGTTAATCCTCTACATCTGCCATAAATTTCCCCCTTATGGGTACTTACCTAAAGGAACTTAGAACTTCTTTTCCTTTACAGGAGGCAATATAATCTAGAGAATGAGGGCAACATGCTTTGTAAGAAGATATACTGAGGTTTGATTCACAGCTCCAATGCTTACTTGCTGCCACCCTGAGAAATTTATTTAACCTTTCTCCATTTTATGTAAAATGTCACTGATAATAGTACTGTTTCAGGAGGTTGTTGTGAGAATCAAATGAGATAAAATACATAAAACAATTTGCAAAGTTTCTAGCACAGTGCATGTACACAGTCAACAATGGCATCTATTATTGTACTTTACGTTGTTTATGCACATCGCATTTCTCCTTCTGTTACACATTCTATGACAAAATAACAACACAGAGCACACATTAGCTTCTTCAAATAGTTGCTGATAAAGACCGGTTGAATGAATGATTTTAAATATAAACACAAGGTATTGTGGTTATTGTTATACAAGATGGCGTAATTACTGTAATGGCAATGGTAGAAAATGCACTGCTTCTCAGGAATACATTATTTAAACAAGTGTCTGTCTTATTTACCTTTATCATTTAACAGTTAAGAAAATTAGAGCAGTAGAGAAGCATTACTGGAGCTAATTAGTAATAACAATTAGATGTTCCATATTGCATTTGAGAGGGTTCCAGAGGCCACTCCTTTCAAAACCCAAATCAAAACAAACAAAAATACCACCCCAGAAACAAAAACACAAATACCCTTTTCTGAAGAGACGATAAGCCTTTCCAATTTTAACAGATCCTTTGTTCAGCACTGGAGAAACTGGGGCGGGCACAGCTGCCCTAGCAGCTACCGTACAATATGGCGTCGCCCATTTGTACACACCGGCTGGGATTACATCCTCCTAGCCCGTCGCAGGACCGGAAGTGGCTTCGGCCCTAGTGGATCCGGGTGGGTGCGCGCAGGTGGCGGTGGAGGGTTCCAGTTCTTCAGCGTGAGGTGCCGCAGGTGTTCGGTTTGGGTCCCGGTGGCAGGTGAGTGAGGATCAGGGACCCGCGAGGCCTTTCACCCGCCTCTGCGAGGGAAGGAGGGGGTTTCCAGTGCCGATTGAGGGGAAGGGTTGTGGAGCCGGCGATGTCACTGTCTGCGGGGGCGACTTATTGCGCGGACCCCGCCGTCCCCAAGCGACTTGGCCCAGCCCTTCCTTCTTCCCCTAACCGGCGCGGCCTCCTCGCTCCCCTGCCCCGCGACGGTTCAGCACCCAGGTGTGCGACGAGGGCTCTCGTCCCGGGCCGCGGCCACCCACGCGCCCTCTCGAACTCCCTTCGTCTCTCTTTAGGAGCACGTACCAAACCTTCATGGTTTCTAGACCCAGTCAGCTCAAAAGGAGGCACCGCCCACAGCACCTGGCAACTCCTTGGGCGCCGCTGCGTGTTCCACGCGGCCACAGTGACAGTTTCTCCCCGAGGTTCGTGGGGACCTGCCCCCGCCTCTGCTGTTACCACCCCTTTCCTCCCAGACCACACCCGCTGCTCTGGGCCTTGCTGGGAGCCACCTCTTTTCTCGCATCCCTGGGATCAAAACTAGAACCCTAGTGGTTAGTGCACAATTGATCCTTGCTCATTAAAAGAAAAGCAAACCCAGCCCTTTCTAAGCTTTTGATATACTGATTGGACGCAAACTCTCTTAGGTGCCCATGCCTTGGAAACATTACATTACTTTTACCGCATTTTAAAAATTGTATTACATGGTTAGAAGGAACCTCCCGGGAAGATTTTGTTAATTATCAGAATTAGGAAGTGCGGGAGACAAGCAGTTTATTGGGGGAAGTAATGATTGGTTTTGGTCAAGTTCAGTTAGTTTTAAAAAATGTATTTATTCTTTTATATTTATTTTAGTTGCAGTCCATGCATACGGTCCTAAAAAAAAATCATGTAAGAAATTTAAAATGGATATTTGATCTCTTTCCATCTCCATCTTCTTTAATTTCTTAGCCCTAAAGTAAGAACTGTTACCGGTTTGGGATGTGTGTGTGTGTTTTTCTCTTTCTTTACATTTATTGACAAGTGTTTGTTCATATAAGTTACATGCATGTCAGATTTCATGTTAAATTTTTACTGACATACTTTACAAATACAGCATATTGTACCTATTCAGCAACTTGACTTTTTATACTTAAAAATGGGCCTTGGAACTTTTTATTTGTCCCTATGTAGAGAGACCTACCTTATTCTACTTGCTCTGTAAATTCCATGGTATATTAAGATTTCACAGGGGCGCCTGGGTGGCGCAGTCGGTTAAGCGTCCGACTTCAGCCAGGTCACGATCTCGCGGTCCGGGAGTTCGAGCCCCGCGTCAGGCTCTGGGCTGATGGCTCAGAGCCTGGAGCCTGTTTCTGATTCGGTGTCTCCCTCTCTCTCTGCCCCTCCCCCGTTCATGCTCTGTCTCTCTCTGTCCCAAAAATAAAACGTTGAAAAAGAAGAAAAAAAAAATAAAAAAAAAATAAAAAAAAAAAGATTTCACAGTATGAGAAGTTCCATAGATTGTTTACAGTTAGACACAGTGAGGCAGAGAACATCCTTCCAAATGTGTCTGTGTGCCCATGTGAACATTTCAAACCTGCAGATTGAATTGCTGGGTGGGAGGGTGTGGACATCTAAGGCTAAACTGCCCACCACCAGTGTATAATGATGTCTGTTTCCCTAGCTCTTTTAAACATGTGATGCTATCAATCTTTTTCATTTTTGCCCATCTAGTGGGTGAAAAATGATTCTAATTGGTGTTTTAATTTGTACTTACCTAGTTACCAGTGAGACTGGGAATCTTTTCATGATTGTTGGCTATTTGCATTTCCTGTTTCAAGAAATGTCTCGTTTTTATTGTTTTTTTTTTAATATGTGGTAGAGTTTTATGTATTCTGGATATCAATCTTTTGTCATTTATATCTGTTTTAAGTATTTATTCCTAACTTAGTGCTTTTTTAATGTTTATTCTTGCCTTTTAACTATATGGCACTTTGTCGAACCATAGACATTTGAACGTATCTGTCTTTCACTATGTGTATTTTGTATTTTGTGGCTCTCATTCCCTATCTGAGTGGTTCTCCAGTGGGAGATATTTTGCCTTCCAGGGACCATTTGGCAATGTGAGGAGACGTTTTTTTGGTTGTCTAACGGGGGTCATCTACTGAGCGGAAACTACAGATGCTGCTAAACATCTTACAATACACAGGAAAGCCCTCCATAACAAAGAATTGTTCTGGACTAAAATGTCAATGGTATTGAGGTTGAAGAGCCCTGTTTTACCCTAAGGCACATCAGGGTTTTCTCTCTCTCTTTCTCTCTCTCTTTTTTTTAATGTTTATTTTTGTGAGAGACATAGTGCAAGCGGGGGAGAGGCAGAGAGAGAGGGAGACACAGAATCCGAAGCAGGTTCCAGGCTCTGAGCTGTCAGCTCAGAACCCAGTGCGGAGCTTCAACTCGTGAACCATGAGATCATGACCTAAGCTGAAGTCAGATGCTCAACTGACTAGGCCACCCAGGTGCCCCTAGGTTTTCCTCTTATGAGTATATTCTCTTCTATAAATTCTTGTATGTTTGAGTTTTTCTTTAATTCCTCACACACATCCAGTGTGTATGTGTGTGTGTGTGTGAATGGTGAGTGCATAATTATCATTTTCCCAACAGTATCACTCTGAATATTAAATCTATCCTTGACCCATTAATCTAAAATGTCACGTTTATCATTTACTACTTTCTCACACCCACAGTCTGTTTCTGGACTCCCTTCTGCTTTGTGACCTGGTTTTCTGTTTTGCAGGACCAATTCCACAGTATCCTATGTTCAATACATATTTTGATATCTAGTGGGATAAATACTCCCTTATATTATTACTGTCATTTTATTGAAACTCATATACTTTTTCAGCTCACATACTCATTTAAAAAACATTTGTGGGGCTAATCTTAGAATTTCTTTTCCTGACTTTTAGAATTAGCTTGTCAAGTTTTTTTTTAAATGGCTTTATTGAGATGTAATTTATATAACTCATTGTTTAAAGTATACACTTCAGTGGTTTTTTTGTGTGTGTATTCACAGTTGTGCAGCCATCACCACAATCTAATTTTGGAACATTTTCGTCACCCCAAAAAGAAACCTGTGCCAGTTATCAGTCATTCCCCATTTCATTCCCCAGTACCTGAGCCCTAGGCAACCACTAATCTTTCTGCCTTTATAGATCTGAATATTTTGTATAAATGGAATCATACAATTTGTGGTATCTTGTGACAGGCTTTTTTCACTCAGCATAATGTTTTGAAGTCTCATCCATGTTGTGGAATGTATCAGTACTCATCAGGTTTTTTTTACCCCTGAATAGAATTCCATCCTATGGTGTGTTTGTTTCCTAGGGCTACAGTAACAAAGTAACACAAACTGGGTAGCTTAAACTAACACAAATGTATTCTCTCACAGTTCTGGAGGCTAGAAAGTCCAAAACCAAGGTGTAAGGAAGGCTACTCTGTCTCTGAGGCTCAGGGGGAGAATCTTTCTTGCCTCTTCTTAGCTTCTGGTAGTTGCTAGCAATCCTTGGCATTCCTTGGCCTGCTTCTGTCTTCACATGGTCTTCTTCCCTGAGCGTCTGTCTTTACATGCTAAATCTCTCTGTGGGAGCCTGTTTCTGTGTCTCTTCTCCATTTAAGGACACCAGTCCTATTGGATTAAAGGCCCACACTACTCCAGTATGACCTCGTTTTAACTTGATTATGTGTGCAAAGACCTAATTTTCAATAAAGTCACATTCACAGGTACCCCTGGGACGTCAACATATCTTTTTCAGGGGCACAATTCAACCCATAACTTTATGGAAATGGTATATTTTATTTATCCACATCAGCTGAAGGACATATACACTGTTTCCACTTTTTGGCTATTATGAATAATGCCCTTAAGTATGTTTTCATTCTTCTTGGGTATATACCTAGCAGTGGAATTGCTGGATCATATGGCATCCCTATTTTTTTTTTAATATTGTTATTTATTTTTGAAGGAGAGAGAGAGAGAGACACAGAGCATGAGTGGGGGAGGAGCAGAGAGAGGGAGACACAGAATCCGAAGCAGGCTCCAGGCTCTGAGCTGTCAGCACAGAGCCTGACACGGGGCTCGAACCCACGAACCGTGAGATCATGACCTGAGCTGAAGTCGCTTAATTGACTGAGCCACCCAGGTGCCCCAAGCATCCCTATGTTTAACCATTTGAGGAACTGCCAGACTGTTTTTCAAAGCAGCTGCACCATTTTATATTCCTACCAGCAATGTGCGAGCATTCTAATTTCTCCATATTATTGCTAGCACTTATTATCTGTCTTTTTTATTAGAGCCATTCTAGTGGGTGTGAAGTGGTATCTCATTGT